GGTTTCACTTTGACAAACAGCACCTGGGCTCAGCTTTTCTGGAGTTTATCAGAAACCCTTTGCTCCTCAGAGTCCCAGTTGTCTAACAAGTTCATGTTTTCTTTATGAACAGCCTTGGAAACTATTTTTCTTGTTTGCCTAGCATAACATCCCTGTTCTCATGCTTTCAACTGTGTGCCAACCCACACTGTGGCCAGGATGAAACATTATTATGACTAAAGCCCACTTTCTTGTGACGCCATAAAACGCTGGTCTAAAATGAGAACCTTTGAGCTCTTCTAGACTGAAGCAGCTGTGACCAGCAACCTCTCTCTGAACTGGGCTTCTCAGAGCCCACTAACTCGCAAGTTTGCAGTACTCAGACGGCAGCTGAACAAAAATTAATTATAAGCTAATACCCCCACTCCTCAAGGCTCAACTCTTTGCACAATGAAAAGATGCAAAAGCACCCAGAGTGAGTATTTCACTGCCTTTGAGGGGAATTTTTTCACAGGTACTTTTCACTGACTCTGCCTGTGTGCATAAACATATACATATACTACAGCAAATTTTGTGAGAAATGCTGCTCTCTTAGATGCTCAAGTATCTTGGATATCAAAGTCAGGTTTGTAAGTAAGGTTAAGTTGTAAGTTAGATTAAATGCTGTTAAGTGTTAATTCCTATGTTGAATTGTTAAGTTTAAGGTTTAAGTAAAGGTGTAATTTAAGGTTAAATACTTCTGAGTGCTGTTAAGCTTTTAGGCTGTATTCTTTTTATCCTTGCCCTCTCTGTCCTTTTGTCACTTGTCACACACTCCTAAAATACACACACAGCCCTAGACAGCTCTCAGTTAGTTTCTGTTTTGATTGCCTGGATTTTAGCTGGGGTTTGGGTTTTTTCCTCTTTTTCTTTGGTGTAACTGACTAATAGGTAGCAGAGTAAACCTTGCAAAGAACTTTGTCATTGCTTAATATTAAATCAGGTTTTTACTGATACCCTTGCTGATGATTTTTTAAGTGTTCTCAAGCACTCATTCATAACAGCTGTCTACCAATATACAGGAAGCACCTCATGCTCACAAGCTTTGGTCCTCACAGGGGAAGCTCAACCACTCTGGTATCTCCAGAGTGACAAGACAGCAAGGCATCAGCAATCCAGTAAGTTATCTTTGATGATAGCTTCCTTCTCTAAGTGACAGAGAAGGTAAAAAGGAGATGTGCAATACTGGCACTTGTTCTCACCAACAAGGAGAGGCTGGTGAGGAACATGAAGCTCAAAGGCAGCCTTGGCTGCAGTGATCATGAAATGCTAGAGTTTGAGAGAAACGTGAGTAGTGAGAACAGAGCAAAGCAAACCCAGTACCCTGAATTTCAGCAGATGCAGCTTGGCCTCTTCAGGGATCTGCTTGGCAGAGTACCAGGAGATAAAGCTCTACAGAAGCTATATAGCATATAGGACAAGCAAGGACAGGTAGTCTGGGAGGTATACAGAGAAACTGTCCAAGAAGCCAGAGATGAGTTTAAGAAAGCTAAAGCCCTGAGAGAATTAAATGTGATTAGGGATGTCAAGGGCAACAAGAAGAGCTTCTATAATGGTAACAAAAGGAAAACTGGGAAAAATGCTTGACCTCTCCATAAGGAAACAGGAGACCAGGGATATGAAGAAAGCTGAGGCAAAAAATCACTCGTGCTGCACCACAGGAAAGTTTAGATTGGATATTGGGTTCATTAAATTACTTTTTGCCTCCATTTTCCCTGGTATTTCAGTCACATCATTCATGTCACAGGAAGAAAGAGCAGGGACTGGCAGAATGAAGAACACTGTAGATCAGGTTGGAGCCCATTTAAGGAACCTGAAGGTGCACAACTCTATGGGACCTGCTGAGATGCATCAATGAGTCTTTAGGGAGTCTCAGCAAAGACACTACCCATTGCATCCACTGCATCTCAGAAGTCATTACAGCCCAGTAAAGATTCCACAGACTAAAAGAGAAAAAAGATAACTCCTATTATTACAAATGTAAGAAAAGAAAGGCATAAGGAACTATAGGCTTGTCAGTCTCACCTCAGGGCCCAGCAAGCTCACACTGTAGATCCCCATGGTAACTATACTGAGGGACATGCAAAATAAAAAGGTGACTGATGATGGTCAACATGGCTTCAGTAGGGGCAAATCACGCCTGACAAATTTGGGGGCCTTCAACACAACTATAGTGTTGGTGCATGATGGAAGAGCAACCAACATAATCTACTTGGATAGGTGCTAAGCATTTGACACTGTAACACAGGATATCCTTGTCTTGGAACTGGAGAGACACTGATTTGACAGCTGAAACAAGTGGATAAGGAATTGGCTGAGTGGTCAAACTGTAAAACGTGGTCAAGACGTCCCTGTCCAAGTAGTCACTCATTCCTTAGGGGTTGTACTGAGATCACTGCTGGGTAACACCTTCGATGGTGTCATGACAGTGAGATCAAGAGCACCCTCAGCAAGTCTGCCAATTACATCTGGCTGCGTTGTGCGGTCAACATGCTGGAGGGAAGCAATGCCACAGGGGAACATGGACAGGCTTGGGAGGTGGGCCTGTGTGAACATGACAGCAAAAAGTGCAATGACTCCACCTAGGTTAGGGCAATCCCAAGCACAAATACAGGCTGAGCAGAGAATGGAGAGCAGGCCTGAGAAGGACTTCCATGTGCTAGTGGATGAGAGGTGGGACTGACCCCACAATGTGCACTCACAGCCCAGAAAGCCAAACATGACCTAGGCTGCACCCAGAACAGTGTGGCCAGCAGAGGAAGGGAGGGGATTCTACACCTCTGCTCTGCTCTGGTGAGATCCCACCTGTAGTGCAGCAACCAGCTCTGAGGTCCCCAAGATACAAAGGACACAGATCTAATCAAGCAAGTCCATGAAGATATTCAAGCAGCATCCCTCCCATGAAAGTAGTCTGAGAGCTACTGCTGTTCAGCTTAGAGAAAAAAAGGCTTCAGGGAGACATTACAGCACTTTCCAGTACCCAAAGGGAGCCTACAAGAAATCTAAGGAGGGACTTTTTATAAGGACATGTAGTGACAGGACAAGGACAAGTGGTTTTATATCAAAAGACAGTAAGTTTAGATAAAATATTCAGGAGAAATCTTCAGTGTGAGAGTGGCAAGACACCGAAATGCCCAGAGAAACTGTAGATGACTCATCCCTGGAACTGTCCAAGGCAAATCTGCAGGAGGCTTAGAGCAACCTGGTGTTCCAACCTATGGCAACAGGGTCAGAACTGATGACCCTTAAAGATCCTAAGATCTTTAAGATCCTTTCCAACACAAACCATTCTATGATTAAACAAGTTACCATGAGACAAAAATAAACACTTCATGTGTAAGTATCAGATATGTAATCAAAATTCAGTTTGCTTTTCAAGCAATTACCAGTTTTACACTTTGGTTTATTTTTCATAAAAGGTTCAGGGGAAATCTTCTTATTTAAGGAGTGAAAAATTTGATTTTAAAAGCGATTGTGCCACTGTTGAAAATGTTATAATAATCAGAAGTCTAAACTGCCTAGTGGAGATGAGAGCCCAGTGTCAAAAATGTAACAGTCACCTTAAGCTGACATCACCATTTATGCCTGAAAAATATATGGATGCTTTTTTTTATCTGAAGAACCTGAGTTCCAAAAGTTAGATTCAGAAAGGTCAAACCCTACACTTGAGGTGCTGGAGTATGCCCACTAAAGAGCAACAAAGCTGGTGAAGGGTCTGGAGCATAGATCCTATAAGGAGCAGCTGACAGAGCTAAGGGTGTTCAGAAAAGGAGGTTCAGGGGAGAGCTTATCACTCTCTAAAACTCCCTGAAAAGAGGGTATAGCTATGTGACGGTTGGCCTCTTCTCCTAAGGAACAAGGAATCAGACAAGAGGAAAAAGCCTCATGTTTGCTATAGGAAAGTTCAGAAGGGATACTGGGAACATTCGCTTCACCAAAAGGATTCTTAAACATTGGAACAGGCTGTGCAGGGAAGTGATTGAAGTCACCATTTCCAGAGGTATCTTAAAAGCCTTACAGATGTGGCACACAGGGACATGGTTTAGTGGTGGATTTGGCAGCGCTGGGTTAACGGTTGGACTTGATGACTTTAAAGGTATTTTCTAACCTAAGTGATTCCATGGCTCTGCTTTATTGATAAAGTACCTTCCTTATTCCTGTCTGAGAAGTGTGAATGGTTTCTCATTTCCTGTATTAACAATTATGCTTAAACTGTAAGTATTGTGCAGTGCTTTTATGATCAGTTCAAAGAATAACCTAATTAGTGATTACCATGCAGTGATAAGCAACTGGCTTACACAAATACAAAGGAGTCTAACTAACTGTTTTCACTAGAAAATCTCTCTAGCTGGAATAAACAAAGATCTGAGCGCTCATACCTTTCTCAAGGTGAGCTTATTCATTCAATAATAACAACCTTCATATTTACATACATCCTGTAATTTCTTTAGCTTGCTGACATAACCTTTAATAACTCTGACAAAGCCTTATTAACAGTGTAAGCACTAAAAAAAAAAAATCAAGAAATCAGCATCATCTCTAAGCTATTTTTTTATTTTATGCTGCATTTCAAAGAGATCAGAAAAGCAAGGAAGCATTGAAAACCCATATGCTATTGTAACCTATTGGCTTTTCTGTATTTAATCCGCACATCTATTTCCTTCACCCAGCAGGGTGAAGGACACTTCACCCTGCTGTGGTATACTTAAAATGTGAAGATATTATGCTACAAGAAGATACACCTCATCTTTCTTTTAAGGAAAGCTAACAAGGAGGACAATTCCCAAGATATGATCATGATGATTAGAGATTCAAAAAAGATTATTCCTATAAACAGTATTTACATAAGGACAAACTATATTTTGAACAATACATAAAATTTGCAGTTCTTAATGACTTTACACTGAGAAAAATCTGTAACTTGAAAGCAAGATGGTTTATGACATATCGCAGCTGTTTCTGTACCTAAAAAGCACACGTACCTTTTCCTAAATGTGTATTTATACTCATGTATCTAGCTGTTCCTGTAAGGCTCTTGTGTTCTCGATATGGTATGTGCTTCTTTGTTTCTGGATCTACGTACTCCTTTGCCAAACCAAAGTCTATAATGTGAATAAGTTGCTGGGTTTTGTTTCCAGGTCGTCCTATTAAGAAGTTCTCAGGTTTTACATCTCTGTAAATCAAGTTCTTTGAATGGACATATTCCATACGAGAAATCTTCAATAAAAGAAAAAGAAAAATAGACAAGGAAGCTTGTCTTAGTTTAAGCATCAGGTTGCCACATTCAAATGTGTTAGAAGCTAAATATCTTATATTGACTTTACACATAGAAGAAATCACCCCTCCTAATATCTTAAGACCAAAGCAGTATTGTTCTTAACAAAGTATCTCCCAGTTAAAGTTAATGAAAATTGTACACTTTTCCACAGCAGATACACCAACTGGTGTATTGCAAACTTTCACACTGGAAATTAGTCATGAATCCTGCACACAAAAGAAGTTTTTGTCTCTCAAAAGAGCTCGCACAAGTATGTTTTCTGTACATTAAAAGTAAAACCAGAAATTATGTCACCAAGCAGTAGGCAGCAAAGTTTAATGTGGATCTATTACATGTTAAAGAGATAAATGACAGAAGCACTTGAAGTTCATTACTACGCATATAAAGTTCATTCTAGCTGGACTGCGTTCTAGCAAAATAGCCACATTCAGAAAAGTACAGAAATAGTAAATAAAGCTGATCTTTGGACTTGTGAGAACTTGAGCATTTAAAAAAAAAAAACTTGATCATTTTGACTGTAAATAAATTCAATGTGTCTGTATGTCTGTATATAGGAATAAGAAAATCTTCAAAAAAGAGAATAATTCTTCATTCAGTAGTTTTGTGCTATAATTTCTGGAAGGATTTGGGGAATTTTTTCGTTTTTTTGTTTGCTTTCTTGTAAGAATGCCCAGGAAATAAATACTTATTCTATTTAGGAGTCTCACAATACAACTGCTTGCATAGACTAAAATTACTTTCATTTCTTTAATGTCTTCTTTTTTAAAAGAGTATGTCGAACTAAAAATCATCATTTTAGATTGTGATTAGAACTCAGAAGACACAACTAACTACATTCATGAACTGACTTGAAAAACTGGAACAAAGTAAATTAAAGTAATGTAACAGCATTCCTGCTTAAACTGTTATCACAAGCATTTTAAATAAAACCAACATCAATTTAAAACATGGGGAAGTGCAAATCTCCTCAGTGAAGTAAACATTTAATCAATTGAAGACTGATTTAGTTATTCTAGTGAACACTCAAATTAACATCTATTCTACTTACCAACTGGATGGCTATCATAAGAACGGTTTTAAGAGAAAATGTCCTACCACACAAGTCAAATAAATCTTCCAGACTAGGTCCAAGTAGTTCTAGCACCATAGCATTATATTTGCCACATGGGCCAAAATAATAAACCTGAGGTATTCCATCTGTAAAATGAAAATACAAAGTAATGATAAGAGGTTAAATAAGATTAAGATACACAGCAATACAATTCCTACCCAATATCAAGTTGATCGTAAGTTAAAAATACATTTTTCACATAAAAACAAAAATAAACCTCACAAAAACTACAGGTAAAAGACACAACAGGAATACTGAAGATAGTCACAAAAATATTAATGAAAATGGTACTATTACATATTTGACTTGTGAAAGACATCAAGATTTTTATAAAAAATTAAAATTAGAACCTCTCTATTAAGTTTTGTAACCGTAAATTGAAACAGGGTTTTGAAATGCTGTGAAAAAAGGCTTAAATAAGATCTTGTAAAAAAAATACTCTTAAGATAAAACTTTTTAAATTAAGGCTATTCCTACCTTTATGAATTGGAAAGCACCTTATTATCTAGAGAATAATTTAAAAAAATAAAAAAAAATATTAATGAACTCAAGAGTGTAATGACACATTAAGTTTGGACTTTATAGTTTTAAATGAACGTCTGCCTTAGGAAGACAGGCAAATCAGAAGTTAAATAGTTAAATAGTTAAATAGTTAAAGCCTTATGATCCAATTTTACTTCTACCTTTTTGCAAAATATGCATTGTGTGTCAATTTCATTAAAAATAACTTGATATCATTGCTTCTACTCATCTTGTACTTTTTCACATGCATAGGACATCTTCCTCATTCAGGAGAATAAATTTTGTTTACCTAGGGAATCTAATTATTCCAGATCTTTAGTTTTTTGTTCTTTACACATCCTCTGTTTCATTTATTCCAAATATTTAATACTCTGAAAATGTACTCTTTTCATGTGAGCTTTTTGTGCAGTGTCCAATGTTTCAATTCTGCACTACACAGAAGTACCAAACCTGTTTTCAGAACAACTTAATGAAACACTGGATTTCACCTTCATTCTCTGTAGGTCAAATTTGACCGTAATTCTGAATGTTTTCTGAAGTACATAAAACCTTCGATTTTTCATACCTTACTATAGAGACACTTACACTGAGGGCACAAATTTGTAATTGTATTTTCTACAGCTTTGGGTAAAAAAAAATATAAAAAATACTGTTTTAGCAAAATTAACAACAATTCAAAGCACTTTAAGAGGTTTTTCCACTAATCGTTTTTCCTACAATTCAGAATATTTAAAGAAGCCCTAAAAATACAGCTTACCTGTTCAGTTTTCCAAAGATTCGAGCTACAATTTGGTTTACGTATGTATCATCACACCCATCTCTATACTAATATACTTAAAATGCATAATTGTAGCCATTTAAGAAAGGCTTCACAGAAGTGGCTTATTGCTAGTAATGAAGAAGCACTGATCTTATTACATCCTGTATCAGAAAGGTATGAGATATTGTTCTTCAATTTAAAAATATCATCCAGAACTATCAGATAGATACCTAAAACACTCGATATTTTCATTAGGTGAGAATTCTAAAATGTCACAAAACTGTGTTTAACATGTAATAACTCCTGCAGGGCATCTGGAGCATCCTGTCTAAAATTACCCATGTTGATAAAATAATTTGGTATTAACAGTTCAAAGTCCTAGAAGTTAGGGACTTTGGTTCTTAATCAAAGCACTCATAGTATTTTTGCTTAAAAGCAAGAAGCAGCTGTTGTCCTGCTGCTTCCATTCTTTTTCCGTATCTCTAAATATCCAGCAGTCAGAAAGTAACATGCTACTAATAAAAACACATATAAAGGCTTTTTCTCTCACTACAGAGAGATAATGTAAGCTTTCTTAATATAAACCTTTAAGAGATATTAGTTAAGATAAAAACAAAGAAACTCTGATTTTTAAAATGTAAGAAACCCCAGCTTTGCTGACAAGATATTCCAATACTTATTACCAATTAAGAGGAGGTATTTTATTTCCATTTTGAATTACTGTAGCTCAAATCACTGAAGAACAAAAGAAGAAAATACGCTGAGCTTTTGAGATGAGTCCCAGTTGTCTTGCTGTGAATTTAAAGAAGCCACTGGTCTTTGGTTTCTTGATTAACAATTAAATTGATTACTATTCAATCTTTTCTAGTACCTTGACAGATCTCCCCATTCTTAAAAATCCTTTTTAAGAAGTAGCACCCCTCCCCAGTTATAAGCAGAATTCAATGTTTGTCACACAAATTACGTATGTCACTAAAAGTTACGTATAACTTCTTCTTCCATCAAAAAGGAAACTTACTTGTGACCAAAAAAGTAGATTCACATGCTCCCACTAAGTTACTTTAACATTTAAACATCTTTGCTTTCTAGGTTTAAAACTCTGAAAATAGAATCCTTTCTTTAGGTATGAGTGATACTCCCCTATCCCTAGATATTTATAATTGTTGACAAGTAAAACATTTTCATTTGAATGGGCTCAACTGACTAAAGCAATCTACAATACTTAGGTGACTTTCTTGTCATAAAACTGTAAATCCATGTTAAGCCAGTATGATTTTAATCCTATTTTACTCTTGACAAAAATCAAAGAAGTCTTGACTTGGCAATTAACTATTTGAACAACGCTTGGATTCGAGTTTCTTCTATAAAAGTTAACTTTCATTAGCCACCTAAAACATTACTGCTGTACACCTCCGGTCTCCAAAATCATGTCCAAATTCTCCAAAAGTACCTCACTATCCACTGATAAGGGGGGTGGGTAGGGCAGGGGGACAACGAGACCCCCCTGAAACAGTTATATGAATTTATGGATTATACTCTTTAATTTTCACTCAAATACTTTAGTCTACCATGTTTACGTACATGATGTCCAGAAAGTTTTTCAAGCTGACAGACCTGACTTCCTCTACAATGATGAAAGGATAAAAAAATATTAGAATAAAGGAAATATGACTAGTAGATTAAACTGTATCTGCCAAAGCTCCTTAAAACAAAGAAAATAATAAGCTATTTCCGCTTTGAGACCATTATCCATCTTGGCTGTCTTTTCCAAGAACTTCATCACTAAACCTGATTTAAGCTTGAGACTGCATGTTTTTCAGTTATCTACAGCAATATGCATGACTAGCAGAAACACATTTGTTTCTTAAGGACAAAGTTCCATTTATTTGCCTTGACACAGATATTACATCATAGCTTCAATTATTTTATGTGTGTGTCCTCATTCAGGAAAAAAAAATACCTTGATAAGTAGGCAGCAGAAACAGAATATGTAACCCACAGATCAATGGCAATACCACTTGCATTTAACCTCCTCTATCACTGACTTAATTTTGAGATGTATCTTGGCAAAACATCTCTATACAATACAATCTAAATTTATAAAGCTATTAAGTTAGTAAGTAGCTTTACAGTGCCTTTCAGTTCCTTGTAACACCAATTTCCTTTTAGAGCCTTCTCTAAACCAGTCAAGAAATCGACTAATGGTATCTGCATCATATCCTACTGCTGTTAACTCAGACACATAAATGCCAATAAAATACACATGACTGCTCTTGCAGATCATGGTGTTGTGTATTCTGGGTTCTTATACTACACTGCCTTTATTTGCAGTCTTAATTTTCCTATGTGGGAAAAAAATTACTTTAAATTCAGAAAATCCTGCATGTGTCCTTCAGCTAAATCCTAGAAAAAGACTGGCATAAAACAAGAAAAACTGCAAGCAACATGCTTATAATTTTGTTGGACTACACCGAAAAAATAAATTAGGTATTTCCATTTGTGTTTATTCACATAAACATAAATATTAGCATATTCACATTAATAACTGAGCAGCTCAACGTTTCTATTAAAGGAAGCATATCAGCAGCAAAAACTCAAAACTGAGTCAGCATTTTCCCAAACAACTCACAATACCACCGCAACAGTCATCAGTACACAGATTAACAGTGCCTATGAACAGATTCCTCTTCATTCAAGAGATTCAATATTTGATTCAGTTTAAGTGCTCTAATACTACGTTCTTAAATTAAGCTTAGAGCTTTATTTTCTAAGACCACCTGCATGTTTAGTTTTTTTTTATTTTATAGTGATTACCAACCACTTCAACTAACTGCATATTGTTCATTTCCCAGCATAAAAATGCTATTAGAACAGAAGATTAGAACAGAAGTAATAAAGCAGGACCGTATGACTAAAAAAAATTAAAGAAACAGTCATCAGTTTAAGACCACATTCTCAGCTACCTACCTAGAAGTATAGTTCAAAGCAACAGTCACATGAAGTTACTCATAAAACTCACTTTGCATTCATACTGAATGTTGGCTAACAAGATGCATAGAAATCATATGAAGTGTGACAAGTCAGACATATCTGTAAGAACTGATAAAATGTTATTTAGCTATGTAAACCAGGACTACCCTGAACTGATTTATTTGCTAACTCTAGTTTACAGCTAGATGTTTTATCTTCAATATACATTGTCCTTGATTATTAGAAATATTTTTAGAAATTTAGAAATCCCTTGTTTTAGAAATTAAACAATATTCTAAAATGGGAAGTTCCAGTAAATTATTGCTGCTTTAACTAAGTAGTAGGAACATCAAATTAATATAGCTGCACGTCAAGTTCATGTTTTCCCACAAAATCTTTTCAAACTCGCTTCAAACCTTTGTAACTTTCATAATATTTATCCTTAATAGCAGCAAGACATGAGTTCCAAAATAATTTGAGAAATACAGAATAAGTTATTTTAAATTGTTTCTAGAAGATTCATGTACAAAAATGATCACTTGGCACAATAATCTAGCTGCAGTGCTTTGTTTCTAGCAATATACTTGACTTTGAGACACTTCCTAATGGTATGACAGAATATTGATCTAGTAAAAAATGTTACAGTCTACCAACCAAGAAAGAAATTAAGCAATTATTATATTGAAATTTTTGTCTTGGGAAGAGTTTTAGCAGAACACAGATGCTGATACAACACGATGAAATCATGCTGGGCTGCCTTTTCTCCCAGAGGCTAAACTGGAAGGCAAAGTGGCTGTAGCCCAGGCAATGAACTAGAGATGGTATCACCAGCAA